TTTTCCAAAGTCATATGGCAACACTGAACACCAGCTGTTTACCTTTCGTATGTATAATATTCGCAGTTTACGATTACCGGACGTTCCGTATCCGACAAGGCGGACAAGCAGAAGAGTCAGAAGTAACCCGGACATGTCTTACATTTTATTATTGTCAGTTCGACTCGCGTAGTCAATATACTTGCGTATATTGTCGACTATAATAGTAGAACTATTTTAGCTTTCTAAAGTATGGCACACGGCGCATTTTTTTACCAGCATAGTACGGCACACCACGCAGGTCGTTAAAATGACAAAATAAATTCCCGCGCACCTGGCACATCTTCCTGACCATGGTTTGATAGTAACAATGGACAACCAAGATTCTGAATGTCTCACTAAACTCCTCTCTACTAATCAAATTGGATCTTGGAAAGTCAAATGCCGACTCCCACTTAATCACACTGTGTCAGCTGGAGTAATAGGACCTTTCGGCGATGAGACCTCAGAGGAAGAGCTCACCCAGGAGTTACACCTGGCTGGATACAATGATGCCTCAGCAATTAGAATTTACAAAGGCAAGGATAAAATAAAGACAGCTATGTTCAAGGTACTTTTTGCAACGGATCATCTACCCTCCTACCTCTATCTTGGTTACCAATGCTTCAAGGTGGAAGCATTTGTGAGTAAGCCGTGGCAGTGTTATAAATGTCAGGGATTCAATCATAATGCCAGCAACTGCAGAGGCCCCTCCCGATGTGTAGGTTGTGGGGGACCTCATAATGTAAAAGACTGCCCTACTTCCAGGAGTCAGACCCCAAAATGCTGCAACTGTGGTGGCACACATACTGCTAACTATGGGGGTTGCCCTCGAATGAAATTCGAAGTGTTAGTTGAGAAGACTCGTTCTACAAAAAAGATGTCATATAGAGATGCCCTTAAACACATAAAAGAGACTACAACTATCACCACAACCAGCAACACAGCTAGAAGCACATCCCTGAGTTCACCACTCAGCCCTTCAGCAACTACCTCNCTGCATTCCCTGCCAAGAACTAATCTAACTAACACACTAACCATACTGAATGTGAATTTAACAATAAAAAACTTGCTTGGAGGAGGACCGTTCCCAATGGATGTGCAGACTAAAATAATCAAAGCCACTTCTGATTACCTGACAGCAATTAATGCTCTGAAGCAAATGTAATTCTAGTTTAGTAACTTCTAGTGTAAGATATTCTCAATTGTTGCCAATAGTAAATAGAATTTTGATAACTAGATAAAACCTAAAAAGCATCTCCTTGTAGACTAAATGTGAATAACAATCTGTGGCACTAACCTTATCTCAAATCTTCAATAAACGCACCCACTGGTGCATCCAGCAGCTCAAGTAGGGGCGCTCTGCGCAGATCAATTGACTAATGTAATGACTGCATTTGTGAAGGGTGCCTTTATTTGTCTGTCATGTATCCTCATCATCCTTTGCCTCTTCAAACCCTGCCCATAAGAGATCCATCTTGTTTGCATACTTAAATTAAATATTACTTGTACAAGGCCTATTAGCCTCAAGAGGCTCCAGGTTGAGCTGCCCAGGCTGGACCCTTATCTAGCTGACTGGTTCTCATATGTGGCACAAGGTAGGGCATCCCCTAGATACTAACTGGGTTACACTAGCATCTACATTTGAATGTTTTCTGTACCACTTTCAGTATAATAGAGTAGCACCTGTTTTATAATCATTATTATGTGATTTTGAAATAATTGACCCATATAATGCCATCAGCAAAATATTCCCTGATTGATGATACTGGAACATACACCCCCGTTTTGAAATTGTTGATTAGCTATTGTTACAATGCTTGCATCGCTCTGTGCTGACAAACCTCTTCATGTGCCCACAGTTGCTGTGGCTACGTCTGCAACATACTCCCGTACAGTTGTGGAGCTACATGGACAAGTCTTCGAAGCTCCAATAATCACCAATCACCACCACCACCACCATCCTGGGCAGTGGCGGTCTTCGGCAGGCGACCCCGTTTAAGTGGTGAAAAAGTACTTAGGAGTACAGGAGTCTAAGCTATAGAGACAACTATCGCGGAGGTTTCTGAAAAGTTGTCACTTGGTCTCCCTGAATCCCAACAATTCGGTTTCCAGACGGTTTCCACAATAGATTACTCAACGAATTAGCAACCGTCCTGGCCGGCCCTTTAACATTATTTTTTCGAAAAACCTTAAACGAAGTGACTTTGCTGGCCAACTGGAAAGAAGCCCAAGTGAGACCCCTGTTCAAAAAAGGTGACAGAAGTAACCCCAGTAACTACCGTCCTGTAAGTCTCACAAGTCACAAGTGTTGTGTGTAAGGTGATGGAATTGGTTATGAGGGATAGGATTATCGATCACTTGACTTAACCATCTTCTATCAGACTGTCAGCATGGCTTTATTGCTGGCAGATCATGCACCACTAATCTCCTGTCTACCTTGAATAATTGGACTCGCCTGCTGGACGAAAGGGAGCCAGTGGATGCAGTCCAATGCACTGTACCTCGATTTTGCCAAGGCATTTGATAGTGTTCCGCATGAGCGACTGTTATGTAAAGTGAATTCTTGGGGAATAGAAGGAAATGTACTACAATGAATCAGGAATTTCCTAGTAGGCAGAAGACAACGTGTCAACATTAACGGAACCGTATCAGACTGGGTAACTGTGCGCAGTGGCGTACCGCAAGGAAGCGTTCTTGGGCCTGTTTTGTTTGTCGCTTTTATAAATGATCTACCAGAAGTAGTGTCAAGCGTGTGCTCCATGTATGCCAATGACGAAAAAGTTTATAATACAGTGAAGGACGCGTCAAATAAAATCCAACTGCAAAATAATCTTGATAGTTTAGTTGACTGGGCTGATGCGTGGCAGCTGCGTTTCAATGCTGACAAGTGTAAAGTACTTCACCTCAGCCAGAACAATGAACAGCAAGCTTACAGCATGAGAAGACATGGTTGCAACGAGAGGATTATGATTAAGAAGTCTTGCGTGGAAAAAGATCTTGGAGTTTGGAGGATTAATAAGTAGGGTTTGAGTTAGGCAGGGAGCTGACTAGAGTTAGGCAGAGTTGTGTTTGTGTATTGATTGAGAGAAACTGTGAAGCACATAAAGTGCTTCAGTTGTCACCGGCCAGAGCTACTACAAGCCAACCTAAACGTTAGGCCTGTAATTCACTATCACTATAGTATCAGGATCGAATGCTCACCGCTCATAGGCCAGGACAATATATGAATAAATTTCCAGGCAACTGTGCTCATTCATCTAACCTACAATGCCGTTCAACTCTCCTAGTCATCGTCAGTTAAAGCCGGTTCCGTGGCTATGGTATAATCACGACAAAGCACACTTAAAATAGTTTATTCAATCACTTTGTTTAAAATCAGTAAAACATGGTAAAGGGAAAGCATAAATTCCGACTAAAATGACTATTCTAAGAGAGGTTCAATTCCATTTACTATTGCACAGCATTAATGCACGTAGTTAAGGCTGTCTCTTATACACATCTAGATGTGTATAAGAGACAGGTATAAGTGTTGATTGAAAACCTTTAATATAATATGAACATGGTTGGAGTTACCGAGGAAGAGCGTAGCACATAAATTTAACCACAGTCTTCCATAGAAGCAGCAGGTGATGCATAAAGGATTCATGCGACAAAACTAAGACGTAAAATAGGAGGAAACCCTTACCCTTACAC